TTCCGCAGTCAGTTGTTCTCTCACTACCGTTTGAAGCTTTGTGTTAAAAACTTTCATGTCATCTCCTGTGTCTAGGTTCACATACACAGCAATAGGAAAACTATCTTGCTTCTTTGTCTCATCATTATATCTCAAAACATTAAAGTTCTTCAATAATATTGTTCTTCCTGCTGGAATACTTCGAACCTGTCTGATTTCAATAGCTTTCTCACCTCCTACATACTCTACCCAGTGTCTTGGATATTCATAAGTATACTGACTTTCTTGAATTTTGGTAGGTTTCATCATAACGTGTTCATAGTATATCTTTATACTCTTGTCAGTTAGACTCGGTGCTATGTTCTGAATATTTCTGACTTGCATTTTTAATGGAGATAAAATGAAGCATTTAATACATGACGTAGATGAAGACATGAATGAAACTACAGACAAACTTAACTCTTCTCTTATTCTTCCTTTCAGCAAAGATTATGAGTTCTGTTCAAATGGTGTGTATTTCTATTGTGGAAAGATGGGTTCAGGTAAGACATTTAACCTCATTCGTCATATACTCATAACAGAGCGTTTAGGAAACGACTCTACTAACCAAATCATTATATCAGCAACTTCAGACTCTATGGACTCAACAGCGAAAACATTTATGTCAAAAGTTCAAGCCTCTGTCGTTAAAGTTCCAGACAGTGAACTCATTGAATTTCTTCAACGTTACATTCGACGTAAGAGGAAATATTATGCCATCGTTGAATTATACAGTCAGGAATGCAAAAGACTTCAGAAGAGATGGAAAGAATTATTGACAAACACCACTTACGTCAATACTCAGGAGTTTACGATATGAAACGACTTACAAACTACATTCTGTCAAAACTTTCAAAATACCCCTTCAAAAAATATCCTTCAAACACTTTATTAGTTTGTGACGACTTCGCCGGAAAAGGTTTAGTTTCAAAGCCTGACTCACCATTAGCTAACATCATTACTAAAGTCAGACATTACCACTTAACTGTAGCAATACTTATGCAAACATGGAGGTTTTTAGCTTTAAACATAAAACGTCTCATAACTGACTTCGTTATCTTTCAAGGTTTCTCACGCTATGATATTGAACTCATTTGGAAACAGTCAGGTATAACATTACCTTTTGAAGAAATTTGGGAAGCATATAAGTCTCTCATCTCTCCTCGTTCATACCTTGAGATTCATATCATGACTAATACCATTAAAGTCAAAAATATTCCATGGGAACGACCAACATTGTTTTAAAGTTTAACCTTCAATTGACTGATGGTAAACAAATTCCATGCATCTCTGTCGCCATTTCTGTTAATATTTTTGCTGTCATTCATATCATCCACTTCCCCATCCGTTAGCTTTGAGGATATGTGTTAGAATAGCTGTTCTTAAATGAAGGCTTTTCACCTTTGAGAGCATAAACTCTATAACTTTCTGCATACTTTATGTTTGAACCTCCTGAGCCATCATTGACATAAATTTTATAGGCTTCCACCTTTGTTCATATTCCTGCTTCTTCCCTTAGCTCTTTTGTTCAGTAGTTCTACATCTTTTATACACACACCCGTCTCGGTGAATTCAACAATATTTTCATTCGTTAGCTTTACATTCAAACCCTTGTCGAGTATATTGTTCATTTCATACATATAAAAGGTTTTTATTCTATATGAAATGAGAAGCAAATCCATCTTAGCTGGTGCCGTTAATGTTCCAATTGAACCAACATCAAATGTTGACTCACGAACGACAAACAATATTGTCATAAAGAACTATAGTTCAGAGTGTTTGAAAGAAAAAGAACCAGAGCTGAAATCCGTGAATTTAAACTCAGCTTCAAACGCTAACGCTACATCAGATGTTAAGTTAGAGTATCCACCACTGGACCAAATTCTTTCAAGAGAAGCCAACGAAACCTTACACAAATGTTCAAACAAATCCTTCAGATAACGTAGACCATTACCTTCTTCAGTTATACCAAACAATTTTACTCAAAGACGATAGAAGCTTTTGACAATCTTATAAGCAAGAACCAAATAATTCTAACAAAGGAGGACCTTGAAAATGTTATCTCACGAATAACAGGGAAACAATGTGTCATTGACTATCTCGACCCTGAAAATCGAATGCTGTGGTCAAACTCCACCATTCATGAAATAGGTAACATCCGCATCATTGAAACACCAGGAACTACAGGAGTTGAGTTTAAGTATAAATATTCGAACGAGTATACAAAACTATCTACTTACTATAAGCTTTGCTTGAAATATGTTTTAGTAAATTAAAGCAGTCAGGAGGGCTCTTTGAGCCCATCTTGGCGCTTTGCGCCGTCAGTCAAAAAAAATTCAAGTTAGCAATTTGTAATATCTGTCCAAAACTTCTTCAACAGTATCGAACTCATCTTCATAATGCAAACCTAATCTTATTGACTTGGTGCAGTTTTCACTAACACAATATAGCGCTTTGCGCTCGGCGCCTTTGACGCCTTTTTCTGTTCTCTTGACTGACATAACTAACTCATTTGTTTCATCAAACAGCAACAACCAAAGTTCATGACCTAATACATAACATTCATACTTTATATTTTTAGCTCTGAGTTCTCTTGTAAGCTGTTGCATTTAATATTTTCTAAAAAGTCAACTTCAACAGTCATTCGCACTGGTGCCTTCAGTTCTACAGGCTCTCCTTGAAAGTCAACAAGTCTGAATTGCATGTCTTTCAAATTATGAGGACTAATGCGAACCCATTTACCTAAATGAGTTGCTATGACAGGAACATTTGGAATGAACATTGAATTGACTGCATAACAGAAGGATTTATAATCTACTAAACCTTTACTATTAACTCCTGAAATACCTGTGACATTAGCTATTTTTGACTCAATGTATAAACAATTACCATAACATATATGGAACAGATTCATCTCAATCGTTTTGTCAACACTTTTCAAAGAATGTCATATGGTATGCTCCCAGAAGCAATTGAACTCTATGACTCATTCGTGTTATCTTAAACTCCTTCGCATAACTGAACTTCAAAACTCCTGCAATAAGTTTAACATTCATTAAGTTTTCTTCGTTCTCCTTGTTTATTGTAGTATTTATGAGAGCATTTAACACTCCAGCTAATGTTTCCATCTTATATTCTACATTATTGTGAAATCTTATTTCGTGCTTCTTTCCATCTATAAGCTCCATGAAATCTGTTTCATCTGTTATAACGAATGAAGCGATAGTATTGAAGTCAACCATTCTGAAATGCAAGTGGCTCATTCTGTAGACCTAAGTTTGTTTGTAGCTTTACTGTCCCGTATTCGTTTGGGTCTGTACTTTGCAAATAGAACAACATTTTATTCTCATTAAAATATGAGTATAGCTGCATATGCGTATGAAGCTGACAGAGCTAAACGTTTATATTTTGGTCAATACTCTCTCACACTTACTGAAAATATATTGTTATCAGTGATGGAAATACCGAGAAATACATAACATGGAAGGACTATGAAAAGTTTGACCCTATTTTAACTCCATGTACAATGCCATTCATTGTAAATGATGATTGTCATGAAGAACGACACAACAGTATATAAGTCTGTATATGAAGCATTAGAATATATGTTGAATTATAATCCCGAAATATTTGACCCAAGCACTACACCATGTGCAATGCCTTTTATTAAGGACGGTGAAATCGTAAGAGTTCCGGATTCAACGGTTTATACTGCTGTTCAAAACAGTTTACAAACATTTTAGCGAATATCTTTAATTCAGAAACTACAGAAATAAAATTACCATATATAACAGATGCTAAAGAAATTAAATCAAAAACGACAACATTATTTACGTCACTTAATGATTTAATGACTTATATCATTAATATTCCTGCACCAACTACAGCATTTGATCCAAACTCGACGGTTTGCAGTGTACCTTTCATAAAGTCGCAAACGGACTCTTTGAGTCCTGAAGGTCTTTCAGACCGAAGCGACAGGGCGAAGCCCATGACAGTTCATTAATTACTTTAAGGGATTCAACAGTTATGAATCATTAAAGGTCATTAATGAAAATCATTGATTTTAACTCATTCACGAATACATATAATTCATTCATTAATGTTTCATATGCTTCTAAAGAAGGTGAGCCAAAAACTATCGATAAAGCGGTGTATGAAATAAAAGCATCAACGACGAAATGAATTCGTTAACTTTTGACGGTGATAGTTTGTTAATGACATAACATCGGGGAAAACAATTTTAACGAAAGAATATTTAAATCTCATGTTAGTGAGTTTCGTTGAAATTGAAAAAGAAGGTGGAATTAAGTTCGATCCACTGAATTTTCATTTTCAGCTTAGCGAATGCGGGTGTTAGTTTCGCTGAATGGACAACTATACAGAGTGAAATAAATGCAATATGGACGTTTTTGGGTCAAAAGCGGAATGGGTGAGCTTGTAAATGCTGCAAGAACATTAGGTGAAACAGGAAATTTTTTGTAGATGGTTTTTAAAAGACTTGTTTCAAATGTTTTAACAAACACAAAGAAATTATTTAGATATACCATACATAACGGACGGATTTTCGAACAGGTAGCAACAAACCCTCCGGTTATGGCTGCGTTGATGATGGTTAGAGATATAAAACCACGTAACGACGGAACGAAGAACATGAACAACAGAGCCCAACGGGCTCAGAGCCACATAGTGGCGAGGATACTGGTCGGGTTATTCAAGACATTAAAAACGTGTATCCTGAAGTTATTGATTTATTTAGAGGAGTTAATGATTCAATTTCAAAACATTCTATAACCCTCGATGAAGAGAATAAATTAACAGATTATATATTCGTCATTATTGCAGAACTAATGAAGAGAATAAATGAAAAAGGAATTGGTGATATCATTAATGTCAGCGATGTAATGATGAAAAGAAATTTTGACTCATTATTTACAAAACCGAAAACAGAATATAGTCTTTATGACGTAATTACCGAATTAATGAAAAAGATTAATGATAATAAGAGTTCTGGCGGAAGAGTTGAATTAGAAGTGAATGATGTTAATGAGAAATTAGCCGAAAAAGCAGATAAAAACCACGTTCATTATATAACTTCAGACGAACAGATTATAACGGACTACCATGGATATTTAACACGAAGTGATGAAGCGAAGACAAAAAATGTTAATGAAAGAAGATATAAATACATTCGTGCTAAAGGTTATGACATAAGCTGTACTGTACAGTATGATGTAGCTAAAGCACCAGAAGCATTTGGTTATACCGGTGAAATTTATGCCTCTACTTTCAATGTTAACGGTGTATTAGTTGAACCAAGATTTATGTTAAGAGTTAAGGCAAAAATAACGTTTGAAGATGCTATTAAAAGTAAAGCTGACAAAGTTGAACTCGAAGCAATGAACAAAGTTTTGAAATCTCATAAACACAACATCTCCGATATAAATGAACTTCAAGCTACATTAGACAGTAAAGCTGACAAAAATCATACACATAACTCCTTCTCAACTGTTAGAGCAGACGACATAATATTGAACTATACCCTTGGTTCAAGTGCACCTTTAGAGAATCCAAGTACAAGCGTAAAAGATACACTAAACTCCTTAAATAACAAATGTATGAATATCGAAGGTCATGCCAGAAACTTTGAAACACATGAACTACCAGCAATGTTAGATAAGAAAGCAGACAAAACTTATGTGGATACAGAACTAACAAAGAAATTTTCGAAACCAGATACAATGACATTTACAACAGAAATTATAAATGGTGAACCAGCAACTCCATTTGAATTTGTTAGAGGTCTTCAACCAGATACTTTTGAATTTTTCTTGGATAATTCTATTGAACTAACATTACATTATAAAAGTGGAACAAATGCAACATTTCATCCGGGAGATACATTCCAAATGGTATTTAATGACATAAGTTCTTTAGAATATGTTTATAGAGTTATGAGCATATATGATTTAATATATCCTATAGGAGCTGTTTATACGTCTATGAATCCAATAAATCCAAACACTTTATTTGGTGGTAGATGGTATGAAATAGTTGACAGTTTTCCATTCTACACTAATACTCAGTCAATGAAGATGGGAGGTTCAAAGAAAATAGGTATTGAAAACCTTCCTTCACATATGCATAGGTTCAGTGGAAGAACATCTGTGGAAGGAAACCATTCACATTCAATAACAAAAAGAGGTTATATAAATCTTGCAGCGGGTTCGAATAGACAGGGAATGAATAGATATGATATCACAACTGACCCCAAAGATGTTAGCACAGGTATTTTCTGTGGAACTGCAGGAAATCATACACATGTTGTAGCTGGTATTACAGACCCAGCAGGTAATGGAAAAGATTATATGCCTCCTTATATAACAATGCACGCTTGGATACGAGTTGGTTAAAATCTTTAACTTTACATAAATGAGCTTGAAAGAAGTATTCGAACAACATCCATGGAGGTCTTTTAAGAAATTCAATGAAGCTGCAAAGAGTTCGGGATTTACTAACAGAGCTGAAGTGAAAAGGTTCTTTGACAAAAATGTTGTACATCAAACAAAAATAAACCCTTACGACTACTTTTTACCAATTTACTCCAACACTCCTGACGCATACCAATTTGACACTCTCATTCAAAGCAGAAAAGGAGGACATAAACCATTCCTCATCTTCATTAATGTTAACACTCGCAAAGCTTTTGCGTATATAATGAGAAATAAAGGAACTCATGAAGTGTTAAGAGTTTTACAAAAGTTTGTAGCAGAACATAACCCAAGTACTTTAACATCAGACCAAGACAGTGCATACCTCAGCAACGAAATCACAGAATTTCTCATTAAGCATAACATAACTCACTACACTACTGAAGACCATAACCATAACATACTCGGCATCATAAACCGCTTCATAAGGACTCTCAGAGATTTAAATCAAGAGCGAGACTTTACCGAAGAAACAATGAAACATTTCATCGAAGTTTACAATTCCTCAACACATTCTACAACAGGACATACACCAAATTCAATGACACAACAACAAGAAGAAAAGTATATACAAAAGAAACGAAGCCAAACACAAAATATCAGAAATTCAACACAATTTACCCTCATTCCTGGTACAAAAGTTCGTGTAGTTCTTGACGACAAACCGTTGACAAAGAAACGTTTAAGGTTAAGTAGAAACTATTATATCGTAGACTCTACACAAGGTAATGGATATCTTATAAAAGCTGCAGACGACTCCATAGCATTTTACCCTCGTCATAAATTAGTCGAAAGTAGTAATGGCAAACTTGCTGAAACCATTGACGAAGCAAAGCGAGGAGTGGTTATTGAAATACTTGACTACAACATAAACGATGACACTTATAAAGTAAGATATGAAGGAGGTGTTGAAGATGTTATACCATCTAAGAACTTGAGAGAGTCAAAGCCAACACATCTGGGACCATTAGAGCGGGAGTACTGGAAAGATAAAAACATGCCAGAAAGAATAAGAAAATTCTTCTAAACTTTTTCGTTGGATGTAAATCAGACATGAATGAGAACAGTCATGATATCATTAATGGTACCATTTATTTACACCAAAAAATAATGTTTATGTTAGAATGTTAGATCTAACACGTTTTCTAACCACTTTTCTAACATGGTCTAAAACTCTCGAAAATCATGAATTTTTGACATTTCCTTATGAAAGAAAAATAACGCTAATTTTTTCTAAGAAAAATTTTTATCTTGTATGTAAAGATATGATTTCAACAATCGGCACAACAACAATTCAAACTACAGCACCAAACTCGTTAGTCATAAATCCAACATCTATGTTAGTAGAGATGAAAAGCTTCATTCCTTCTTCATATACTTTCGAAACAAAAATCCAGAAGATAAAGCAAGAACTTTTAACAAGTAATTTAGACTGTAGTGCGAAAGATGAAACAAATGAACAGTATCTTTATGAAATGCAGGACATTATTGACCATTTACCCAAATTGCCTGAAATCCAACAACAAAAACTAACTATTCCTGAATTCGACGAAATTGAAGTCAAAACAACTGACTCAGTAGAAATAAAGAAGTTCATACGTAAAGTAAATTATGAATTCCTTGGTTTTCATTGCAACCATAAAGTTATGGACAAAGATTGCGACATGGTTTATAAGAATGTTTCTGACATATATAAATCTGAAGAATTTAAGACCTACGATAACTTTGTTTCATTAGTTGCTGAATGTGTTTGGGAAATAAGAGATAAAGATAGAAAGAGGCAAAGTATGGAACGAACAACTAAGACCCGCTATGTTTGAGATGAAGAGAGCAATTGACGCCTTAGTTGTTTTAGCAGGTCAAATTTCAATGTATAACGCAAAAATGAACCCGCAATGTTCAAAATGTAAGGCAGCGATGAGGAAATATAACTACTCCGTCAAAGAGATAGAAAGAATGAGAAACGACTATGCAGATTTAAAGAAAGAAGTAGAAAAGCCAGCAGAAGATAAAATGGACATGTTAGCATTTCTGAACAAAAATTATCCAACTGCTGACGATTTCCTTCTATCTGACGTCAAGAAGAAATATAAAGAAACCTTCGGCATTGTTAAAACATTCGATGTACTAAAAGAAGAAATAGAAGCTACAAAACTGTTTAAAGTCATGAACCATCGCAACATATACCATGTAAAACGCTTGTAAATAGTTATGTTAGAAAAGAGGTTAGAAAACGTGTTAGATCTAACATGCTAACATAAACATTATTTTTGCTGAATTCAGCACAAAATTCTGAGTAAAATGGCATATGGCTTGTGTCAAACCGTTGAGTTTTCACAAATTTTAAAAATAACGTTAGTTTTATTTTTATTTATTTTTTATTTTGTATGTAAAGACATATATGTCAAACATTGAGTTTGAAACAGTTAGAAAGATAGACAATGACACCAAATTGGTTAGAATAGGTGATTTAAACGTAAGATACTCAAAGAAATACAACAAATATTCTTTGTCAGACATTATATTTCCATCTGGAAAGAAAACACACGACTGGGTTAGAAATGCTTCAACTCAGAAAATTTTGACAAGAAATCCTGAGCTTATGATATCAGTAAGATTCTATGGAACTACAGCATATCTCATCGACAAAAGTCTTATACCAATAGTTTTGTTATGGATTGACCCAGTTGTTGGATATAACTTCATAACAAATGGTTCATTCGATACGGAACGTTGCAGTGAAGGCTTACTTTACATCGTTCAGAAACCGAAGGACTTCAACACAAAAAGATATAAGATAGGAAGAACATATAATATAACTCAAAGATATGACAGTACAGTCAATAGAGTCAAGGTTGTGTTCGTTAATGATATGAGAGCCGCAGAAACAGAACTACTCGAAAAGTTTGAGAAAATGTATGGTGCTCCCATAAAAGGTAAAGAAACGTTTGAAGTAGATGAGATAGATAAAGCTATAAATTATTTGACGAAGTTGCTGAAAAATACATGTAAAGCGTTTTATTTTTGGTCTTTTGTGAAAGATAAAAATAAAGTTAGTTTTTATTTTATTTATTTTTTTATCCTGTATGTAAAGACAGATATGTCAACATTAGAGAACACAACAACTGCTATCGTTCATGAAGTCATAAATGAAGAATACGAATACATACAGTATAACAAACAATTGAGACTCATTCGTTCTGTCAAAGACGACATGTACCAAATGCAAAGTATAATGAATGCTCTTCTTTCTACAAAGCAAGCATATCATTGGTTTGAAAACCAACAGGCTAAAGAACTTTTAGAAGAATTTCCTCATATGATTGCTTCCCTCGGAAAACCGAGGGAAGAGATTCCGTACGAAAATCGCAAGAATTTGGCACCTGGTTTGAAAGGATATTATGTTCATAGACTTTTAGTAAATGCTGTAGCAATGTGGGCTTCACCTCGTTATGCTTGTTATATTTTCATGATGTTAGATGAAATTCACAGACAAGAACGTGGAGAGATGGAAAAGAAACTTCAAGCAAAAGATGAAGTCATTGAATCCAAAGACAAAAGCATACAGAAAAGAATACCGCGTTCAGTACCAAAAGGAAAGGAAAAGAACTATAAGTATATGATTTATACTGAAGAGTTGGAGAATGAAGAAGACAGAGATATGGTTATGTTGCATTTAGTCAGAAGAAACAACAAAGCTTTTACGACCTTGCTAAAATATATAAAATCTGACAGAAACTGGTTCTATCGTGAAAACTTACCGATTTCAATGACACCGAATGAGCAAATAAAAGAAATTGTCAAAAATACTCTTCCTCAAACACACTATGACATCAAAGGTTGCACAATACTTACATTCAAAGAAGACTTAACATTACTGAAGGAAAAAATAACAGAATATTTCGATAACTTCAAAGAGGAAGAATGAAGTCACGACAACATTAACGAAGAAGTCACGACAACATTAACGAAGAAGTCACGACAACATTAACGAAGAAGTCACGACAACATTAACGAAGAAGTCACGACAACATTAACGAAGAGAGAATGAGGTGAAAAAACAGGTGAAATCTCACCTCTTCACCAAAAATATATTTTTGCTTAAATGACGTCAGGGTCAATTTCTTCAACCATTTCACTTCCTTCGTCAATGTCAATAGAAGCTTCTTCAACCTTTGGTAAGAACTTTTGTATAACATCTTTGTTCGTTATTGTTTTCAGAGATGAAGAATAATATTTCACATTTGTTTCACCCTTCTTATATTCTTTCTGTTCGAAAGATTCATAGCAATACTGAAGAAGTCAATGTTGGAGTTCTTTATAACAGTATAATGAGTATCTTTGACATTCACGAAGAAACCCTTTTGTTTCAAAACTACTGCTAACTCTTGTGAAGTATAACGTTTGCGGTCAATGACAATAGCTAATGGTCTGACATACTGACCGAACTTAGATTCTTTCACAAACTTCTTGTTAAAGATAACATTGACGTTTGAAGCATTATTGAACTCATTCTTGATGACAGTAGCGAGAGCATTGTATGAAAAGAACTTGCAATCTTGCATGTGTTTCATTAAAATAAAAATATTAAATTATTTTGAAAAATAACTTAAAAAAAATGTAATCTAATTTTTCAAAAAATATTTTTTTATTTCCTACTAAAGATGTATCGGAAGTTGTCTAAGTTAGAACACTCGGAAATAAAACAACTTCTTACAGAAGCTAATATAGATGTTGCAAAGCATTACACAACAAACAAAAAGGCACTCGCTGACATCCTCAATGACTATAATGGTGAAATAACTTATGATAGAATTCATGAGTTCATAAAGCCGCAACGCGGCGAGGACGAAGTCCATGCAAGAGCATTTCCTTTAAATGACGTTGCTATTGACTTATATCATAGACGTTCAATACCACATGAAGTAAGAAGAGAAATGTTTGACATAACAAAGCCGCATGACGGCGCGGGCGTAGCCCATGCAAACGTTGGTGAAACAAGAAGAAGAGACGACACACTGAAACAACAGAGAAGAGAGATGTTTAAAAGTGCTATAGAACAAGTTCGCAAAGCTAACGATGTCATTCGTTCCATTGACGACAAACCAAAAGAAGGTGAGAGATGGTTAAAGAAAGATGAAGAAAATAGGAAGAGGAATGTGAAGTCAGGCAATAGACTCATTGACTTTAACATCGAAGCTTTAGATGAACCAAACAGAGACTACTTACACAAACATTTCGGTAAGGTTTTCATGAGACTCTTAGAGAAAATTAAAATAAACTCCCAACAGAGATGGATGGTATGTTATAAACTTGGTGGAAAGTATGAATGTTCTACGTTAAACCTCAATAATATTGGAACATTACTACATCAGCTCTTGAAGGAGAACTTTATATCAGAGATAGAAGCAAATGCTGCAGGTATTGTTGAAATGCACTATGACTTCTTCTTGACAAACATAAAGAATCTTACTGAAATAAAGATGTATGATTTAACAGAATATGAAGGCTTAACGATGTCAGATGTAAAGAAAGGCAAACCAAAAAAGAGACCATATAGAGATGAAAGCACACTGACAAATGACCAGAAAGCCATTTTGGAAGCTCTTAAGCAAACAGGAAACCCAGCACTTATAGAAAGCTTTTGGAAAGATAATGGTGAAAAGAAGTTTTATAAGAAGAGAAGCGGGCAGTTCTGGAAGTATCTTTGCACATTACCTATAAATCTTGAACGCTACCAAATCTTCAATGAACTGAACAAAAGAACTGCAACACTTATGACAGAAGATAACTGCTTCGTTTATGCTTGCATTCAGGCTGGAGTAAATGAAGAAACTATTGACCACATGAGAGAAGTCATTCGTGTTAGAGACTTTCCTCAAAGTAAAGTACAAGAAATTTCTGACGCAACTGGTATAGCATTTAATGTTACCATTGGTTATTTCAATGACTCAAGACATAATGAAATAAAGAGATATATACCAAAAGAATGCGAAACTGTTAGAACTATTGACTTACTTCTTGTTGAAGACCACTACATGCTAAATGAAAGACTTCCAATGACAACATATTTCATTCGAAACTATATAGAAATCTTGAAGGAGTGTGGTGGAATGAACATTGAAAAACAGATGAAAATATATACAAAGAGAGAAGATAAATATGTAGTTCGTTATGATAGAACAACACCGTTATGGGATGTTATGAAAACATTGTGGGAGTGCAAATATTTCGAACCTATTTCTTATGGAGAACTTTTCACATATACTACTGACTTATATAAACAGAACCTTGCACCATTTAAAGATTTGACATATGCTCCAAAGTATTGTGTACAACTGAAGAAGAAAGCAGAGTCAAAAGAAGTAAATAAAGCTAAATGTAAATTCATTCCTGAGCACGTTTTCTTTGCTGACTTTGAGTGTAGTACGGATGGCTTTCATAAAGCTTTTAACATCTGTTATGACAGTGAAGATGGTTCAGTTAGTGAAAGTATTTGGGGTCAAAACTGTGCAACAGAATTTTTGGAAAGACTTCCTGACAAGAGTTTAATATATTTCCATAACCTCAGTTATGACATAAACTTCATCTTAAGACACATGACAGAAGTGAAAGGAACTCCCATCATTAAAGGTTCACGAACAATGCAAATAACTGGTTTATATAAAGGACGGGCAATTATTATAAAAGACTCTTACAGTGTTATAAATAAGAAGCTTAAACTATTTCCTGCTATGTTTAACTTACAAACAGGACCGAAAGAAGTATTTCCATATAACTACTACAGCAGTGTTTTGTTAGCAAATGACAACAGAACTGGTGTCATTTCTGAAGCATGTAAGTTTATCCATGATGCAGATACATTTATGAAGAACATAGATTCCATCAAAGGTTGCAGAATAGATGAAAACCACTTCGACTTAGAAAAATATAGCACGTTTTACTGCAAACAAGATGTAAGAATTTTAAGAGAAGGTTTTGTAAAGTTCCGCAATGACTTATTGAAAGAGTTTGATTTAAACGTTTATGACTACGTTAGTATTTGTTCTATTGCTAACAAATTGTTTGAGAACAGAGTATACTTCCCGAATGGAAATCTTTATGACCTCTCAAATAAACCAAGAGAATTTATTTCGAGATGCATTCAAGGTGGAAGATGTATGTTGTCAGATAACATGAAACAAAAGAGCAAAAAGAAACTCATTGCTGACTTCGACACTGTTTCATTATATCCTTCAGCTATAGCAAGACTTTATACTTTAGAAGGTATTCCAAAAGTATTGAAGGAAGAAATGTTAAGCACAGAGTATCTCATGAGACATTTATTCGATGACGACCAAAAGGAACCCATTGGTGAAAAGTTTATGTCTGGCTTCTTTGTTCTCATTAAGATAACAGAGATTGGTATACCCAGACACTTTCATTTAATAGTTTGCGACCCTGAACTAAATCCAGAACTTAACGTTCCAAGAAGTTCAAACACTTGCTGTCTCATGTATGTTGACCATATAACATTACAAGACCTCATAAAATATCAAGGTGTCAAATGTGAAGTGTTGCAAGGATACTATTACGATGGAAACAGAGATATGAGAATAAGAGATGAAGTAAAGAAGTTGTTTGAGTTAAGGTTAAAGTATAAGAAAGAAGAAAACCCCTTACAAGAAATTATAAAACTCATTCTGAACAGCATTTATGGCAAAACTATTCTATCTCCTATTGAGTCAAAAATAACCATAGTAATGACAAAGATGCTATAAGATATGCTATAAGAAATTACAACCATATAGTGAAGTTCGAAGGTTTGGATGGTTCAGATAAAACTATTTTCAAGCTAACGAAAAGCATTTGCAGACACTTTAACTTCTGTCCACTTGGTGTTAATATTCTGTCTATGTCAAAACGTATTATGAATGAAGTATTCTGTACTGCAGAGGACATGGGACTTCAAATCTTTTACCAGGATACCGACAGTATGCACTTATATAATGAAGACATCCCAAAGCTTGCAGCAGAGTTTAAGAAGAGATACGGTAGAGAACTTATAGGAAAGAACCTTGGTCAATTTCATAGCGACTTTGCAGAAATAACACCTGGAAAACAAAGTTTAGCTTATAAAAGTATTTTCTGTGGAAAGAAGACCTACATAGACTTACTCACTAACGATTTAAATGAAGTTGCATTTCACTGCAGAATGAAAGGCGTGAAGCAAGATGTTATTGCTTTAACCGCTAATGAAATGTTTCCTGAAGCTATACAATGCTATTACAATGAAGATAAGAACATTCACATACCTGTTGGAACATATGACAAAGACTCTGAGTTCAGTTTAATGAAACTTTACAAAGCACTTTATGATGGTCAAGAGATTGCATTCGACTTATGTAAGTCATGTCAACCTTGCTTTGCTGAAAAGTTCAACTTTTCAATAACGACTAAAACAAGCTTTATTCGTAAGTTGAAGTTCTGAGGTCATTTATTTTTGTCAGCAATGAGGTCATTCGTGATAAAAATAAAGCTAGCGTAGATTTTACAATACTGCGATGGTAGAGTTTAAGAGTTGTGCTTCAATGTAGAGACAGTCCTTCCCATCTGGAGGCAAGAACACTGGACATTTATGGTCATGAGTGGAGAACATGTCTATCCAAAACTCACGATTGAAGCCAGTTAATTTATAGTATTTAGGGTTAGGAAGTGGTGAAGTTCTTGTATGACCAATGAACTCATTTTCAACGCCTTTGGCTATATTAGAGTAAAGTATTGCTTGCTTTCTATCCCAAATGCCAGGTGTTACAATCTTTGAAAATTCATTTTTCCTCGGAAGCATTGCATCATAATTGAAAACATTCTTAAAATCATCACTTGGTTCGGAGATTTGAAATCTTATACGTAATGGATTTTCTTTCTTTTAGCGACTTCATTGAATGGTGAGAATACAATGAATTGACAGTCATGAGTTCCATCTTCATTTTCATTAAATTCATAATGAAAGTCTATAAGTTGTGGCTGACTACCTTCTTCTTTCAGTTGTGCAAGAAACTCACGTAAAGGCTGTAAAGTTTGTACTTCAATGTTGAACTTTTTCTCGAACATCTCATTAAATGAAATCATACATTGTTGCAATGTTGTATCGTCTTTAAAGTATTTGTATATGTGAATGTTTTGGGCGCTTAAAGACTGTTCGTCATTTTCTATCTCGACTTGAAGTATAAAGTCAACCTTTCTGAAAGCACGTGTTATATACATAGATGTTATGCCAATGTACTTCTCTTCATTTATGTTCACAATCCAGTCTGTTGGAAACTTAAACGTTACTCTGTTCCCCTTTATTTTGACGTCAGGGTTTTCACTACTGAACGCAACAGATAAAGGTATTTGTCTATACATTTAATTCGGATAAAAATAAACCATTTACTCTTTCTTTGCTTCAGCTTCTTTAGCTTTTGCTTCTTCTCTAGCTTTTTTCGCCAGCAAACGTGGGTTCTTCTGTCTTCCAGCAGCTAATGCAGCTAGTTGTTTTTCACTAAGTTTTCTCTTTGGTCTCTCTGGCTTTTGTTCTTGTTTTTGTTCCTTCAGTTCGGATAAAATTTGCTCACGAATTTCTTTCTTCAATGCTTCAACATCTATGACCCCTTGGGTCTTGTCCGTAGGGCTTGTCTGAGTCATTTGACTGCAGATAAAAAACAAAATTAAAACTTTAACCGATGTAAAATGAGCTTGTCAAAATCAGAGCGAGAGTCTATTATATTAAATGACGCAAGAGGAATACAACATCCTTTCTATTATGTAAGTCAGAGTAAAGATGGTAAAATATACGTAAGAAAAAGAAAGGTTCCATTAGCGAATGCAGAGAGCGACAACATTAAGGTGCATGGCAAGGGTGAAGCCCATATAAAACCTTCTATTCAAACTGAAAAGTCAATAGAACAAGAAGAAAAGAAGCCAGATGTTCTTTCAATAACGAACCAAGAGCTTATTGCAAAGTTCGTGAATTTCATTGAAAAACAAACCGAGTCAAAGAACCTGACCCACCAGTGAAAGAAGTTGAGACAAAAGAGAATGTACAGTTCATTGAAAATGTCAAGAAACAACTTCCACCACGAATGCCAAGAAGAAGAGTGAGAATAATGAAGTAAATAGATATTTTTATCTGAAGTAAATACATGCAGAACGAACAGTTAAACGAATTTACTCCAGCAGAGCATATTCATCAGATTCGCTCATATTTCGATATCATAGACAATGCAGTTCAAATTGGTGACACTAATAGAAAATATTCTGACGCAAAGATTCCATCACAACCTGGAACTGCTAAAGATAACACATGGGTAACATTCAATCTCTCACCTCCTGGTGAAAATATGTTGGACCTTTACAATACATTCATTACGTATAAAATGGAAGGTCAATTTATTGCAGATAAAGAAATTGGTTCAGGTTCCAATAAAACAAACCCACCAGGATTTTGGATTGGTTTCGATGACGCTTTCTATGCAGTTGCTGGATATCAAATCCTTGCAAATGGTCGTATC